ATTAAAAGTTGGGAACAATCTTTATGTTGCATGTTTGTTTATTCATCTAGTTAATCACACTGTCCGAGAAGTGCCATATCACACGATGCAGGTGTATAGAAAAGCCCTAATTCAAATTAATCTGTTTGACTGTGAGATAAATCAGCTTACATTTTCACAGACATTTCACCGACTATGAATGCTATCGTCGTTTTCTATGCTGTATGTATCCTGCAGTGTTTCATCTGTACGAGTACTCACTTTTTAATATTTTCACCGTTTGACTTCACAAACAGACTCTGTCCGAAGCCGTAGTCAAAGTGGTTATCCCGACAGAAAGGTACAGACACTCTTCTTTCTACGACCGATCAGCTGTTCTAACACAGTGTTACAGGACCCTTACAGATTGTGTCAGGAAGGAAGTTCCAGTCCTAAGAGCTGTAAAAAAAAATCTCACGATAGAACATGGTTAACAACCCCAGGTCTTGTTGCATAGCAAAACATCAGTGGACATTTTGAAATCCGCAACTAAAGACTTGAGGGCTTTTGTTGTTGAAGCCAAAGGTCCCCATGGCCTCAGATTTACCTACAGTAAATGCACTTAGTATGTTTTTATAGCCACTTAATTTTCTCTTTTAGTCTAGTGCTCAATTACCTCAGATTATTCATAGTCTAGTAGTGTTGATGTCTTTTAGCTTACTAACAACTTTGATCCCTGGCTTTCCCATTGGTAGGCTGAGACACTGCAGACGGATACAGCTAGAAGGCAGATAGATATAATGTTAACTCACAATGCAGATTCATGCTAGTGCCATACATCAAAAAAGTTCTGATTTAAGATACTGTATAGTACTGAATAATAAGAACACTTAATTGCAATGTTACAAATAATCAGGTAACACTGCATGAACATACTCTCAGACTTAAAGCAGCAAGACAGTAACTTTTTTTTTCATAACTGCAGCCAGGAATGTTTTCACCCTGATTCTGAATTGTCAAGTATACATTTTGAGACCCTTGCATCTCAAGAAAATATCTTACGTCCAACTAAACGGCAACCGTGTATGAATTTTGAAGTTGAGACAGTTTTATTACATACTGAATATAAAAAATGGCCAAAAAATTGCAACGTGATTTTGTAGGAATCCTCTCAACAATCAAGGTAAAATGGCCAATATTAAAATGTTGATTGTGACTCTCATATGTCTCATATTTTTTTGTAGTCCTCTAGATGTCTAGTAAAAAATGATTGCGTTATCACCTTGAAATATAACTATGAACAATATGAACCATGTTCTACAGCTGAATGTCCCACAGGCTGTCGTCTTGTAAAATAGTGAATGCTATGACATGAAACGACACCGTTAGAGGTCAGCCTGCAGTTTGCATGGGCCACAGTTTGAGTGTAGAGAGGAGATTTCATGTTTTAACTGAGTGCACACCCCGGTCTGATGCACTCTTATTTCCCCCACAGGAATCTATTATTCCTCATTCACAGGATGATAGAGTTTGTGGTGCGTGAAGGCCCTGTGTTTGAAGCTGTTATCATGAACAAAGAGAAAAACAATCCAGACTACAGGTGAGTGTTTTTGCTGCACTTGGTCTAAAATGTTATCTTAAAGGGTATAATCTTAATTTGCTGTTTTTTTTATTTTCTCAGGTTCCTTTTTGAAAACAAAAGCCAGAATCATGTGTACTATCGCTGGAAACTATTCTCCATCCTCCAGGTATGTTTTTGTACTCCTTAGCCTTGTTTCTAAAATATGTATCTGGGAGAACTTCAAACTATTCAATCATTTAAATGGTAATCTCATTTTATGGGAAATAGCTATTCTGATTCAAACACACCAATCGTTCGAGCTTTTACTCCATGAAAATGAAATTACGGGTGTTTTTATATGTGAGTTTCTAGGTTTCTGACCTTTATCTTCTCCACAGGGACAGACCCCGACAGAATGGAGGACTGCAGATTTTCGTATGTTTCGGGGAGGCTCCATGTGGAGACCCCCTATCCTGAACAACTACTCTCAGACCGGTGAAGATAGTGCTGAGGCAGAGGAGGAAGCTCCCCCCGAGGAAGAGGTGAAGAAAGGACAGCTCAGAGCAGAGTAAGTGCAGGCATAATGACATCTCCATACGTACATGACTTAAGTTGAATTGAATGTAATCCTTTGTTATTCTTTACGATTCAGGCACAGGCAGAGGTTGGAGACTTTGCTAAAAGAGCTCACTCCCAGCAGAGAAGATATCGCCACAACGATGCAGTTCTGTCTTCAGAGGGCAGACGCAGCAGAGGAAGTCGTGGGACACATCACTCAGTCTTTCTCCTTGCTTCAGACGCCCCCTCAGAAGAAGGCTAGTTTGCCTCCCTTGTGTAATCGAAATGTCACTGAATGTGTTCACTGAGTAAAGTGTGTTACTCACATCAGTTTTCTTAATCCTCATTCCCACAGATGGCCAGACTATATCTCGTGTCAGACATCTTGCACAACTCATGTGCCAAAGTGCCCGGTGCCTCATATTATCGTAAATAGTAAGAGATGTTTACCCTAAATCCGCTTGAACACTTGTTTTATTTTGTATTTCTTCTTCATGTGACAGTCTAACGTGTCTCTGCCTCTGTTTTTTTTTCAGTTTTGAAACAAAGCTTACACAAATATTTGGAGACCTTAATGCAGCGCATAAAAACATCCAGGCCAGGCTGCAGGCAGAGCAGTTTAAGGTAATCACGTGTTTCATTTGCCTCGCATTTAAACTTAAAACAGAACAACATGAAAACCCTTTTCCTCCCTATCCCCGCAGCAAAAGGTCTCGTGTTGTTTTAGAGCATGGGAGGACTGGACCATATACCCCGAGCCGTTTCTAATCCACCTTCAAAACATCTTTCTGGGCTTCGCCAAAGCTGTAGAGGAGACGACGGAGCCAGTGGTGGAGGTGAGCTGAATATTTATCTACTCATTGATCCCATTTTCTACACTCGGTGATTAATCAACACAATAATTGGCAGATGAATCGATATTGAAAGTAATCGTTAGTTGCAGCCCTGATGTGCACTTATCTGTCTCCTCGCAGGAAGTATCCTCTTATCTCGATGGCGCGCCATTGGACAGCGCGCTCATAGACGGGTTGCCTCTCAGAGCGCCTGTGGATGACCTCGACGGCTGCCCCTTAGGCTGGGACCCTCTGGACGGGGTCCCTGTTGACGACATTGACGGTGTCCCCTTGGGAGTTGCCATTGACGACATTGATGGCATGCCATGTGAGTCCACCACAAATCAAAAGCACGTCTCTAAACCAGAAGTCCACCGTCTCCTGTTCCCGTTATCAATGATCTCTCAAGTGTCTAAGATCAATACACGATCAATCCATGGCTTGTTGTCTGTAGCTGCAGTGGGATGCAAGCACAGGATTTTTCAACAGGGAATTATAAAGTCATCAACTTCATTAAATAGCTGTCCTGACCCAGCTGTCTCTTTTTTTCCTCAGTGGAGGAGGGCAGTGTTCCTCTGTCCAGCGTGCCTTTGTCGAAATGGGAGAAGACGGTTGACTCCGGGACGTTTTCCCAAGGTAACACAGGTCAATATATGCTTATCATATCAATCCCTCCCTCTGTGATCCTGCTCACTTTACTCCTTTCTTTCTTAGTCATGCTTGGGTCCAAGTGGGACATGGTGGTGGAGAAAACCAGTGCGAATGAAGTGAAAGTAAGGTAAGGTTTCTGTGGTTCGCATCTGGCTACATCTACGAGAGGCATATTACACAAACTCGCTTTCAAAATGAATAATTCTCCCTCCCCTCCTGGTGACAGTGTCAACTCGCAGGATGGTGATGACGACTCTGAGAGCGACAGCAGTGATGACGGCGGCGGTTCGTCCAAATATGACAGTGCAGATTTCCAGAGCTCCCTCAAAAGTTTTCAAATGTCCGAGAGCAAAAGGAAACGGTTGAGAGAGCTGGAGGCAAGTCCACATTCATGAAAACTTGATTTTAAAAGGGAGAGGAATACAGTATTAGCGTTTGTATAAAAAAAATGTATTTGTCCTCTTTAATCATTTCCTGTGGTTAGACCCATTCCTCCCCCACTTCCTCTAGGTCACACTTTATGCCATGTTACAAACATATCCGGTCGGAAATGTTTCATTTTGAAAAGAAGACGCTATTAAAGAGGCCCCATTATGCTTTTTGGGATTTTGCCGAGGCGCACAATACAAATACCAACCTGAAAATGAGCATGTCATCTTTCTTATGATTATTATTTATCATTACTTATTCAATATAAAAAGTCGAACCATAGTTGTAATGTCATATGCAATAGCTTTACAGTCTGCATTTGACTCCATAGTTGTTTGCCTCCCTACCGTAGCATCTTCAACCGTGTGACAATATGTCAAATGATAGTAAATAAATATACAGAACTGATTGGATGTGTCTTGCCACAGGTGAAGGTAATGAAGATCCAAGATGAGCTCGAGTGTGGAAAGAGGCAGAGGAAGTCGAGAATGAGCATACAGCAGCAGGTGGAGCACTACAGGAACAAACTGCTTCAGAAGGTGAACTCTAATCTTTTTATTTTTTATACTGCATCTTTTTTATGTTTCCTGAGTTATTGGGCCCAGTGTTTATACTTCAGTTAAAGGTGGGGTAGGTAATTTTGGAGAAACCAGCTCGAGTGCGCTAGAATTTGAAAATACACAGCCGGAAAAAATCTGCCACTTCCTTACAGAGCCCCTCCTCCAACACACACGAACGCGCACATGACCAATGAGGGCACGAGATAAGTTTGTGGACAGATGGAAGGCTGACAGGCAGGTAGGCCGCCCGGCTAAAATGATTGGTCGTGCTTTTTATAGTACTACGGCTTCCACAGATGGATTTTTTGTCAAAGCACTTAAGATATTCATTGCTATCGGGATGTTAAGAGCATTCCATGGAATATAACAAAGTGTATCTCGAGCCGGTTTCTCAAACTTACCCCACCTTTAATAGTCTCTTAAGCAAAAGTAAAAACCATGACTGATGTGTAATAGAAACATTTCTTTAATCAAGAACAGCATGGGGCAACATTTACAAAAGTGCTTGCTATTAGTACATTAAAATTAGACTGTGAAATTAGTCAGTTGGCACGGTAAAAAAAACAGTGTTAGACACGCCCAAAGTGAAACTGCAAAGCCAGGTAGCAAGCCATTTTAGATCTGCACCAACTGAGAGGGAGCGTCTAGCTTCAGCTGCTGTTTGTATCCTAATGTGTTTTCTACTATAAACCGATTATTTTGAGTACTTTCAGAATATTTTACACACAAGATACCCATTTTCAATTACTAACCCTGTGGTAATTTGAAGAAAACGTTTATATCATTGCATGTACCCAAAAATACAGAAAATTATTCATGAAAAAGGGTAAATTGGGGCTTTGATCAACAGCAAAACGTAATCAACAAACATCTTCAGAAGGTTTCATCTCCCAGAAGAATGCTCACTACTTACAAAACACATGCATTTCCGCTCACACATTTCCAGTTAAAACTCTTGGAAAATGTTTCAAAATATCTTTTCTTTTAAATAAGGCCACCATTTCCCTCAATTCAAAATAATTTTCTACATTTTTTGTGATTAGTTTTTGTTATGAATTATAGTTAACCCAGGGTGAGTATTTGATATACAAATACTTTTGTGGTCGTAGTATTTCAGTTACACTGCTTGAATTATTGTTTTTGACACAAAGAGTTTTGTTTCTGTGTCAAAAAAACTGTTACCCTGCCTGTAAGTGTTAATGCCGATATCTTTCATTTCTGTAGGTAAGCATGTGTTAAATGGGTCCTACAAACTAAACAGCTCCCCCTTGTGGAGAACCTGCACTATGTTTTAGTTGAATTAGTAATTGATTGGCGAATTACAAGCCAGTTGTGTCGTATTTTGCATCTTAACAGACAAAAACAATAAAAGCCTTTTATCTGACTTCATTGGGATGTTTCACCGTGTCTACTGTAGGAGTTTGAAAAGGATGAAGACAAAAACGAGAGACTGACATCAAAGCCCAAAGACAGGTCGAAGGATGACAGGAGGGACAGAGATCGGAGCAAACGAAGTGAAGAGGGCGTCAGGAGACGAGGGAGGAGTCGAGATCCAGACGACCACGCCCGAAAGTCGAGGAGCATCTCTCCTTTAAAGCAAGTGCCATGAGATTTATTTGTGGAGCCAATGCATTCATCCATAACGTCTTTCTGTCAGTCTGTTAACTTTCAATTCTTTTTTTAAACAGGACAAGGTCTCCCAAATGGTCCAAGCGTTCCCGATCACCATCTCCAGACCGGAAGACCAGGAAGTCCAGGTCGCGGTCGCCACATCGCTCCCATAAGAAAGCAAAGAAGAGCAAACACTGACTCTCAGCTCTGGTCATCCATTACCCTGCTGGTATCCATGGGTTACACAGCACTCTTTAAATCAGACGAACATGTCCGCTCTTTTGGTCCCAACTCACACTCTCCATGCAAGACTCTGCACTCTTTTTTTTTGTATGATGAAGTTTGAACACTGTAACTAATTATATATATTTTTGTTTTAATGTTTGTTTTTAAAATGATAAGCTGAAATGTTGCTGCAGAGTTCTGACACTAAATAAATCACGGATGTTGATATTACGTGTGTGTGGAGGAGATGATTTGTAGGGCCAGGTATCAAAACTACTTTTACTGGTCTCTTTTTTTTCCAATGTTAAAAAATGTCGTCAACACGCATTCTTCTAGTTTGTGTGGACTTTTATTGAGTAAATAGAGCATTGTTTGGTTCTGTATGCAATGTTACACACTGAATTTACAGTAACATTAATAATAATAATGTGCTTTAATTGAAAAATAATAATATCAAAACGTCTTAAGAGCCAATATTGTTCTTGACCATTTTTAAAGATACCCAGCCCAAATCAATAATAACCGTATACTGATTTCATGTACCGTAGATTTGCTGTCATCTGCTAAAATGTTCGATAAATTACAGAAATAAGATTTTAGAAGTTTAATTTAGAAAAGTGATCTAGATTTAGGCACAAATCATTTCAAACCACCTTGCTTCAGACAAATGGTTACATCTCGTTAAGACACGTAAATGTGTGACTGACATTAGGACTTTTCTAAAACATGGGAGCAAAAGAAATTAGTAAGGTACCCATACTGTTACAAAATAACCTAATCTTGCCATACTCCATCCGGACCACACAGCTGTAAATGAACACGTATGTTTCTGAACAGACAACACACACGCTTGGCATTTCCGGCTCTTTTTTCCCTTAGCGCAGAACCGTTCACAGTTGCTTGGTATTCAAGATTAAAAAAACGTGACCGGGATTCACACCTCCTCTGTATTGTACAGTCCATTTCCTCCATCTATTCCCTTCTATTTTAGGGTCCATGTTTTCCCGAAAGAAGGCTACAGACGGCTCTTTGTCACAGAGCGATAACCGTTAGGTAGTGGGTGACGTCAGAAGGCCCCTGACAGACTCTCCTTCGTCTTCAGGACCGATCTCCTGCAGTCTGCCTGAGTGTGAGGAGCTGACAGCCTCTGCAATGCTCAGTACTTTTTTACATTGATGAAAACCTTGATGGCTCCAGTGAAGTCAGCAGAAAGTAGAACCTCTGTGTGATCCGTCTTTAGGGCTCCTACAAAGGACAACACTCAATTTTAAAGTACCGAAATGTCTTGATGTTGTGAAATCTGCCCGTAAATAGTAAAGGGAAACGTACCTGAGGGTATGGTTTCAGAGTCAGTGGAGTCCAGGCTCTTACACTCTGCTTCTGGTTTGTCTGCTCCAGGTTCTGGCGGAACAATAAGGCCTGGGTGGGGTGCAAAAACTGCTGAGGTGACCACTGCATTGTGTGCTGAAAGATAAGTCAAGGTTAAGTGTCAGTTCAATCAAGAGGGAACAATAAGTTAGACAGGTAGTTGCATTAAAATCAAGCTCAACATTGTTACCTTTAATTCCTTCCCAGAAGTCATTGCGGTCCCGTCGTACAGAAGTGAATTTGCTCAAGTCGTGGTAAGTGCTCCAGATGTACACGTACTTATCCTCTGAACCACTGACTATAAAGGAGTAGTCATGACTGCAGGAAGACAATCCTACAGTTAATTAAGGCACAGTCAAAATGACAAACAAGACAAAGTGTGCTTTAAAGTGGCAGGGCAGATTCTTTACTGTAAAAGGTCAGTGTTCATGTTTAACAGTTGGAGATGACCGTAAAAAAACATGAAAAGGAGAATTTAGGCAACACCTCTACTTTCAACTGCAACTCTTGCATGGAGTCTGTTGCTCAGTAATGCTAGTTTAAAAATAATTAAAGGGGCCCTAATATACTTTTGGGGGTTTTCCCTTTCCTGTAGTGTGTTAAAGGTTTTTGGGTACCACTTTACAATAAGACTACCCTTATAAAAGGTTTACGAATAGTTTGTAATTCATTGATTAATTAGGTTGTGAACACTTTATAAATCATTAATAAGCTTTTATAAGACATGAGATAAACAGGGCAACTGTGACCGGTTGCTTGCCAAATAGTGAGCCCACATGTATCTGTACTGCTAAGTCTTATATTGGCTACCTAGCTTACTTCGTCTTCTTCATCAGCCAGCATCCTTGGTATCTGTTGCTCACTGAGTTGATTCTCGCTAAGTAGCCAATATAAGGCTTAGTCATCTCGCCAAATAGTGAGCCTGTGTTGATGTATGAAAACTATGTTAGAACTGGTTTATAAATGGTTCTTAATGATTAATAAAGTGTTTACAACCTAATGCATAACCTAATTATAAACCCTTTATTAATCCTTTATAAAAGGGTAGTCTTATTGTAAAGTGGTACCGGTTTTTGTGCATGTAAATGGTCTGCAAAGCCTAAAATCCCAAACTCCCTCCAGAAGGAGTTTCTCTCCCACACACTTTTATTAAAAACGAGAAAAGAGAGCCATCCTCACCTGAAGCTGGCCTTGATCTGGCTGCTGCTGTTGACATAACCTTTGTATTTCATGGATAAAGACAAGTCCCTCAGGTCATAAAGGCGGATGCGGGAATCGTTTGAGGTCACCAAAATCTGTCAAAAGGTGGAGGGAAGGTTTCAGGGTATATGCAGGAATCCTGAAGTCAAATGTAATACCTTTTAAGACCTTTTTTAAGACCCTTTCCATACATTTTAAGACCTCATCGCCACTTTGAGTTCTAACCGGTTACATTGGCGACACACTTTACCTCACATTGACTATATACAGTATATTATCTTCCAACCATTTGGACACAAACTTGCATTTCCCCATAACTATGTTGTTTAACAACCGGCGTAAACGGACCTTCGCGCGCTATCAAGCAGTGAGCGTGCGATGTCCTGTTCAGATGACGTCAAATCCAACGGGATGCCATAAATAAACTACACAGAATCACACTACACACCTACGCAATGATTACATTCAGGCAGACTGTAGAATACAACCTCTTTGGACAATTTATATACTTATTGAAAACAAGCTACAAAATGTAATACCTTGGAAAATGCCGTTTAATACTTTTTAATAGCCTTAATTTTTGCTAATTGATTTATCAACTTGTAATACTTTTTAAGACCCCGCGGACACCCTGATACTGTATGAAACATGTATCTGTAGTGCAGATCATGTTACCTTGTTCTCTCCAGGTAGTGGCTCAATGCCGGTGATTTTGCGTCCTACTTTGTTCCTGCCTCTGGTGGACCTCACATGAATTTGAGTGTGGTATTTCAGACGCTAAGGAAGGGGAAAACAGAAAATGCATTTAACTGGGAATGAATACAAAACGTTTTGATGATATAACAGTTAGCATTCGCAGGAAAGAGTATCTTGGCTCGGTACCTCCGTGTCATAGAAGATGCATCGGCCATCGTACGTTCCGATGACGGCGTACTTCCCATTTTGGCAGAAGTTAGCTGCCGTGATGAGACGTGTTGTGCCGTCCACCTCGTTCCACAGCGCCACCTTCTTGTCAGGAATGTTCCAGAGTCGTAGCTTCCCATCCAGAGAGCCACTTAAAAAGTATCTGTCATCCTGGGAAACAAGAGGAAAGCGTCGTTTAAAAATAAAGAAATACAGGTGTGATTTATGATGAGGGAAGGTGACTCGACTTACTCTGGGGTGGAAAGCAATGGCTGTGACAAAATCAATGTGCTGAAAGCAGCAGAGACACTCTCTCCTCGATATGTGCCACAATCGCACCGTTTTATCCATGGAAGAGGAGAGCAGGAAGAAGTTCTAGATTGACACAAAAAAAATGTGTAAGACGAGATAAAACTAAAATTTTTCATTTTTTTCATTTAATCGTTTATTTGAAGAGGGACAATGCACATTGATGAACATTTAAAACAAATAATGCTTTAAAACGTAAACATGCCGGATTTTAGCTTTGAGCTCATTTCCATCCGTAGTCCCTCACATACAACATTTAAGAACATGACATTTATATACATAGCAAAACTAAATACATGATATGCAGAAAGAGCATGAGCAGCATATACAAGCATTAACCACAAGGCAGTACAATGTAGCAGCTACGAAATATAAAGTGCAAGAGAAGATAAAAGAGATACCTAAAGTGCAAGAGGAGATACCCCTGTCTACTACTATTAAAGTGCATTTAGCGGTGATTGCACGTTTGTTTGTTTCTCAACCATTCTTTGAGTTGACCTTTGAAGCTATTGAGAGTGGGACAATCCCGTATCTCAGTTGGGAGGCTATTCCACAAAGAGCTGCCTTTAACGGAGAGGACATTTTGTCCAAAAGTGGTCCGTCTGTGGTGGACTTCAGTCTCCTCAGGTTTCTGACCTAGTGCAGCGTCCAGTGTGTTTTTTGTGGATGAATTCCCCTAAGGGAGGGAGGGGGGGCCAGTCCATGTAAACATTTATAAAAAAAGCACATACTTTTAAAATACTTAAAATTGTCAAAACTCAAGAAATTGTGTTTTGCAAGGATGGTACAGTGGTGGTATGAATTTGGGTTTCTGTCAAACACCTTGATAGCTCTCTTGTACAGCTGTTCTATGGGTTTCAGGTTTGTGGCACAGAGCAAACGACCAGTTTGTGAAACAGTATTCAATGTGGGATAGAATCATACAGTGGAGGTATGACTTTGCAGCGTTGACAGTTAAGAAAGGTCTGATTTATTTAAAATGTTGCAAGTTGAATTTAATGGTATTGGATACTTTCTTGATATGTTTCTTAAAAGTCAAGTTCGAGTCCATTATGACTCCAAGATACTTGAAGTGGGAGACTAGTTCTAATTCTGCTCCGTTTAAAAACACATTGGATCCTTCGATTTTGACTGGTCGTTTACTGAACATCATGCATTCTGTTTTGTTAGCATTTAACTTTAAGCTAATGTTGTTCAGCCGGTGTTGAACCTTGTCCAAAGCATTTGAGGGATGAGATCATTTCAGTGTTTTTCCCCTGTACAAAGATGAAGACGAGGGATGAAAGAAGGATGAAGAGAGGGCAGTAAGACATCACCTGATATTATCATGTCTTTATTTTTGTATTTACCTTTGACCAGGACAAGTCCAAAAGATCCGCCGTGTGACCTTTATACTTGCAGAAAGGAATTTGACGGAAAGGGGCGTTTCTATCTTCAGTGTCTGGGTCCTCTGGAGCACAACTTGCCTAAGACAACAACAAACAACACAACTGTAAAAAATACACCTTGCAATACTTGCACTATTTCTAAAAAGGGAAAGAATATCCATTTCTTAAAATAGAACTGCACAGCTTTTTGTAATTTATCATAAACGTGTTGTATTTTCTTTTTTGTATTTATATATCTTGTAAAAAAAACTTTTTTATAATAGTTGTGACACATTTTTCTTTACTTATTTCATGTTTTCATATTCTTTTTTTACATTTTCATTTATGTTACTGTGTTTATTTATTCATTATTATACACCGAAGTGCCTTGTTTGTGAAACCTATTTGGCAATAAATACAATTCTGAATTTGATCACTGATTTTGATATTTTCTTCTAACACTAGATAACCGTAAGTAAAAGGTATTATTCATTTCACTCACCAGGTGGTCGTCAGATTTAGAGGAGCATAAACTTTCCTGAGAAGGAGACGGTGAAACTCGACCTGCAGGAACCAATCAGAAAGCATCTTACTGCAGCCAAAGCTGGCCATCTAAAACGTATCAATCATCATACCACAACAAAGAAAAACCTTACCTTCAGTGTTGTACTTCATTCTCATATTATTGAAGTAGTCAAAAGCAGTCTTCAAGACCCAGATGCGAACCACATTGTCCTGGCCGGCTGTGGCCAGCAGCCTCCCGCAGTGAGAGAACTTCATCGTCCACACGGCCCCCTGAGGGGAAGACACAGAGGCTGTAATACTAGCCTGAAAGGTCCCCGATATACTCCTTTTCATCAATATATTATCTCAGATATATACAAAACATGTCTCTGAAGTGTTTGGCTCCAAATACCAAACCGATCATTGCAGCATCCCATAATCCCCTCTGTTTCAGCCCTGTTTCCAAAGTGCTGATTCTCTGTCTGTTACTTTAGATGAAAATAAGGAGCCACTCCCCACGCCCCTCTGAGAGATATTTGGTTAAAAGAACACAATGGTGCTCTAGGAGGAGATTCAGGTGATAAGGTGGGGGGGGTTACCTTGGTTGCTGATTGGCTAATGGTTACACAAGCCAAAAAATCGCTATGACATCATAAAGTGAGCAAAATCTGATCAGCTCATTTTCAGACAGGTTTTTATATAAATGGATCCGGAGAAAAAGTGAGAGAATCTTTTTTCCTGAAACTTTCAGAATCTCTTTACACAGAGGGGACACATGTTGATGTAGAAGAGACATGAAGAAGAAGGGACACATGTTGATGTAGAAGAGACATGAAGAAGAAGGGACACATGTTGATGTAGAAGAGACATGAAGAAGAGGGGACACATGTTGATGTATAAAAGACATGAAGAAGAGGGGACACATGTTGATGTCGAAGAGACATGAAGAAGAGGGGACACATGTTGATGTCGAAGAGACATGAAGAAGAGGGGACACATGTTGATGTATAAAAGACATGAAGAAGAGGGGACACATGTTGATGTAGAAGAGACATGAAGAAGAGGGGACACATGTTGATGTCGAAGAGACATGAAGAAGAGGGGACACATGTTGATGTAGAAGAGACATGAAGAAGAGGGGACACATGTTGATGTAGAAGAGACATGAAGAAGAGGGGACACATGTTGATGTCGAAGAGACATGAAGAAGAGGGGACACATGTTGATGTAGAAAAGACATGAAAAAGTGGATTTTGCATAATAGGTGACCTTTAACTGGCAAACTTCTTTAAGCATTGTAAATGAAGATGGTCTTACCGTGTGCTCTCCACTGAGGTCCTGCACAACCTTAATCTGATCAAAGTCAAAGGGGCCCTTGAAGCTGTGTGCTGCCTTGAACTTGGCGGGCCGGGTGTAAGGCATGCCCTCATCGTCACTCGATGACGGATCGTCCTGGTCTGTGTGGAACACTGAGCCGAAACAAAAAACATAACTCAGGTTATCAAACCCTTCGCAGCAGCAGGAGCGCTAATATATCATACGCATGTGCAGACATTGGAAAATCCTTTAAAATGGATGTTCTTTTTAGAAGCAACATTTATCCTCAGATGTTTAACAAATGTCCGGTGTTAACTGTTCCCATTTTCATGATTAAGTAGAGCTTGTTCCAGATTTAATAGCCTCACACTCAACAGTGAAACATTTCTCAGGGATGCATGTCAAATCGTGCCAACGTATTGGAAAATGTTCTGATAAATACCCACACAGGGAAGACATGTAGATACGCGAGATCACTAAGCAAAGGGAAATAAATGCCCTGCTCAATCTGCTTGGTGAAGCAAAGTTGGTTGAGTTATTTATATGTGGTTTTTGATGATTCAGTAGTGCACATATTTTAATGTTGCCATTAATGTTAATGACAGCGGCAAAGTGAATTATTTGTCCTTCAACATTCTCAAAGCCCACATCCGTTTATAAATGGCCTTCTCAACAAAGTCTCTTCCCCTGCCTGCACCCTGAATTCTGTTCTCCTTCCACTTGTAATTTAACACAAAAAAAAGAACCACTATTATAAAAAATGTACATTGTTATACATAGAGTTTAAAATCACTATATACTTTAACATGTAGTTTGGAGCAGTAAGAATATAGGTACTTTTCCACAAAAGTGTTTTCCTGAAATCTAACTATAAGCACAATTACTTCTGATAGTTGTGTTCTTTTACCTTCATCTCGCACACTTTTCACTTTGTTGACTGCCTTCTCTCCGTATTCCTCAGCCAGATGCTTGGCCTTCTTCACAGACTTGCCCAGGAACTTTTTAAACTGGGTCCTGGTTATAAATAAAAGGGACATAAAAAAAATTACAATCTATATTTGATCATGTGGTGAGAAGGGGAAGAACATCAATTCAAGGAACAGGCTACGATAAGTCCTTACGTTTTCTGTTTGAGTTTTCCTCCATCTGTGTCCACCAGAGGAGCCTGAGCCTTGTCATCGTCGTCCGACTGCGCTGCATCATTCCTGAGAGGAACATTTAAAATAAAAAAAATCAACATCCTCAAAGGAAATTACCGTTAGCTTAAAAAAAGGCTTCGAGTGGTGGGAAATTGCTACAAGAAAAAGGCAGTGCTATAATGAGGATGTGTGTTACATCAAAAAGCCTATTCCCTTTTTTAGGAAAAACTCTTATTATTAATAGGAAGCTATTTCTATTGCATAATCTTTCCAGTTTTTGAATACACATGTGTTTTTATACTTGATAAAGCACTGTTTATTCTTTAAAACACATTATGTTTCTCACAAAATAGATACACATGACATGGAACAGTGCTGAGAAAGATACAGATATGATTCTGGCGTCTCTTGCCAATACAAATATGACATTACTGAAACTGAAATATTATTCTCTGCTTACGAAATGTACTCCTTGGTCCTCCTCATGATGTGCAGAGTGAGGGGGTTTATCGCTGCAGGAAGTTTCTCCTCTGCCTGGATTAAAGGGATCTCTTCTCCAGTGTCCAAATTCTTGATCATCACACTGGCAAGGATTTCCTGTTTGAAGATAACGTATAAGGAATGTGCCAGAGGTTGGGTTATGGCTTGTATTCAAGTTGAAAAATGTGGCTGTAACAACAAACAGAGAGGGAGTCTTACTTCATCTGTCAGTTCTCTACCAGAATTGGAACGTGGCCGCTGGGAGCCTGGAGTTTCTCCTCCGTTGTCAGACGAGGCCCGGCCATCCTCATTTTCCTGAAAAAACAAAGCAATGGTGAAATTGTGCAAATAAAGTTTCATTTTGAGGATGGAGCAAATTTCACTTTAACAGCCTGAATGTGTGGAAGCCGTTTTTGACATTGCTGGAGGATAATTCATAATTTAATTAAAGAGCTCTGCTGCTGCTTGTATTTGACTTAAACTATAAAGACTGCGTCATTCTTAATTTTGTCTGATGTTTGGCAATCCATCCCCAGGTTTTTTTTATTTTTTTGTTTTCTCTTTGCCTCCTTTCGGTATTTTGTTTTGTTTTGTTGCTAGTGGGTTACCCTTGGCCTTTTTGTTTATGTCTACGATGCTGTCGACTGGCAGCTTTAGACTATTCTCAGGAATTGTCAATGTAATACCCAGCTTCTTTTTCTTTTCTTGTACACCATGTAAAGCAGGGCTATTCAATTGGCGGCCCGCGGGCCAAATCCGGCCCCGGGGTGATATTTACTGGCCCTTTGAGTATAATGTTAAAAAGTAATCTACTTTTTATTTTTTTTAAGAATTATTTTTTTAAATAATTTTTTGTGCCAGAGTGCCTTTATTCCAGAGAGGGTGTTAAATTGAGAGATAGGGGGGGGAAGACATTGCCTGAAAACTTCGGCGGGCTCAGGTTTCGAACCCACCTACCAGCTACTGTAGTGACAAACTGTCATTTATTGCATCTCTGCGTGAATGATTAGATCATTTCATCTAAATGAAATCAAATTAAATGATGTTGATGGTTAAACTAGCTTCACATGTAGGCCTACTGAGTTCTGAACTTGCCATTTAGATCTATAAAGGCCTTGGGGCTATGTTGTTTGATTGAATTAAACACAATATATGCACTCCACTATGCTGTTGTAGTATTTACTGTATCTGAAGCTCTTAATATGATTGCTCATATTTCAAGCCATCTTTTTCCCGGCCCCTTGCTTTGGATCATTTTCATCAACCCCCCCCCCCCCCCCATTCCAAACTAATTTAATAGCCCTGATGTAAAGGTTTCGGGTACCTACTTACTGTATACTGTGTATGTCTTTGCTTTATTGTAACTAAAAGACAAATTCAAAATAAAATATGACAAAAAAAAGTTTCATTTTGAGCATTTCTGGAGGGAATATTCGCTCAGTATTGCAGCCTCACTGACCTGCGCTGTGACCACTTTGTCTCCACTGATGGCGCTGGCCAGATCCAAGGAATGCTGCAGCTCTTTGGTGAGGCTCCTCACCGTGCTGCTGGGAGACACCAGGCCGGACGGCTCCAGGACCTCACAGCCGCCTGCAGACACTGAGCAACACAACACTTGATCTTAGAACTATACATCTATCCTGTCTGCTAGGGCTGTGCAATTAATCGTATTTTAAATCGCAATTACGATTTTGGCCTGCCACAATTACGAAAACAACATAATCGAAAAAAACAATTATTTTGCTTTGCTAGGTTGTGACAGTGCACTGCAACATATTTGATCTAATTAATTTTGGTCTCATTTATTTGTATTTATCATATTTATATATGTTTAGTAGCTTGGGGAAGTGCGCTCCAAAATATTTGTTGATCTTGTTTATTGGTATTTATTATTTTGATATTATTTATTTAAATGTATCTATTTTATTTATTTTTGTATTGGTTTTTCAGTTGAATTATACGCTCATGGTAATCAACAGTTAAAAAGATACTGTTCAAATTATTATTTGTATTTGTTTTAAAGTTCAATAAATGGATTTTTTCAAAGTCAATGAATAATCGTATTTAATAATCGTGATATCAATTATTGACCCAAATAATCGTGCTTTGTGTTTATGAAAGCAGCGGTATGACTTGGTAGTGGATTAAACAGTAAAATAATCAGAGAAATCAATTTGCCAGGATGCTTGTACTCGAACATAGAGGAGAGGACTCTATGAGCTGTTCTTTCATTATCTCAAAACACATAGCTGAGAAAACATGTGTACTAGTAGCATTGAGCAAATGTTCCCCTTTTGTCAAATAAAAGGTTTCTAAATATAGTATTGCATGGTTAGAACAGCTATAAAATAAAGTGTTTCTGGTGATGATGGCTGCCGTGTCTTTGGCTCCTCTCCAACTCTGCCTTTTTTTCTGTTTTATTGTGTTGCACTGTTGGAGGAGCCTGTGACCTAAGTTTTCCATTGACATATCTACACTGTAGCTATGCACACATGACAATACAAGCCTTGAATCCTGAATGGGTTGTGAGACAACAGCATAACCCTAAAAACATTTGACTTTTAAGTAAAAGATCATAGTTGTTTTTCAACGTTTCCAAACCTCCCATTGCTCTAAAGTTTTTTCTTTAACAGAAACAGCAAACTCTTAATTAAAAAAAAACAGAATAAAGTGATGCCTCAGTGTTAAATTCAACGTTTACATAATATTTTCGGTCAATGTTATCTACTTGAACTGTGAAGTGTTCTCTGTACCTTCCAGTCCACTTGGTCTGAGACACTCCTGAGACTTCCTGGAAGGTAGAGTCTGCCAAGCTGGGGGGGGCGGCCTGGGTGGAGGTCCTCCGCTGGGAGGGGGGGGGGCGAGAGGGAGGAGGCTTCTTGGTGCTTGCTACAATGTCTGGTTCCGCTGTGAATTGCCGCGGGGGTTTCAGAGGACCAGAGGAGTCCGAGTCAGCCGACCCATCTGCGAATGGGACCTGGTCTAAGATATCTGCAGGTCTGTGCCCCCACTCCCCCTCACCATCCACCCCAGCCCCTCCAGGGTGACTCAGTCTGACGGTGCTGGTGATGTCTGGGGGCTGAACGCCTTCTTGTGAGCCGACTGATGGCCCTGGGAGGTCTGCGGGTTCAGGTATGGAGCATGCTCCGTTTGTTGCAGCACTTTCCTGTTGATCCTCTGGCCTCTCCACAGGTTGAGGTTGGAAAGCCGGTGCTGCTAGCCCCGCAGGAACTTCCTGAGCATTATCCTCTTCCTCCGCCTCCGGTTCTGCTCTCACATCAACATGAAGCTGATTCAACAGCTCAGCCACCTCGGCCACCTCACCAGCACTTCCCTTTTGACTCTCCTCAATGATGCTATCAATGATCTTTGAGGAAGAGAAAAACAAAACCGATACTATGAAGCAAGTTCCCACTACAACAGAAATATGTCAAAGATAATATCTATCTATGAAATCCACACTGCCCTACACTATATTCCAAAAGTAAAAAAATATGATGAAATCTCCATGTTATCATAGATCACACAGAAATAGGGCCATTCAATTAAAAACCATACCAGTAGGGGATCATCTTGCTGATTCTCGGATGCGGCCACTCCGCAACTCACATCTTGTGCAGCGTTTACTGGTCTCTGTGAAAGCTGTTCAGAAAACTATTTTAAGACACTACAATACATACAAGAAAGGAAATAACACATCTAACATGCTAGCTTTGAATAACATCAAGGCGCAGCCACAAAAACAGACTTGCTATCTCACAAAGAAATATTCGTTTTATTGAGCACAGGTCTTTAAACTTTCCAAAAGTTCTCAATTCCAACTAGCTTTTCACTTTCATTATTTCATTTGATGCAGACATTGAGTGACTGATTTTGATCAAATTCCCAGCTCTTCATGCTGATTTTATCTATGCATGAAACATTTTCCTTTTATACAATTTCCCTTTGCTGCAAACTCAATGTTTTCAGTTCTCTTAAACACAGGGCTAATGCTTGTCCGTGAGCAGGTTTCACTCCTGGTTTCATTCTGATATCACTTCAGTATTGTGTTGCAGATAAAGCAGTACATCTTCGCTATATCTCGTAAGATTTGAATGTCAGTTGTAACTGCCTGTGTGGGAACAACGTGCAGAGCAACAAGGCCGGATTATATAGTTACATAATAACTGTAAGTAAGAAGCTGATATGTTGCCAATGGATGAGTACTTACAGTTAATGACTCAGTAATAAAACAAGGCTGTTTCTCACACAGGGTATTAATAGTTTAACATTAATTAACTTAAGGTGGGCGCAGCATTAACAAAAACTACAAACACTGCATTCACCTCTAGATAATTACCCACTGTAGGGTTCAGTTCCAATAGTCCTACCTACCTCCAAAACTAACAATCATATGATATATATCTGGCAAAAAATAACTAGTTTCAATCTACCTCAATACTCAACAAAGGGTTTGAAAAGAATATGATCTAAATTGTTTTACTTTAAATTAATCTAATTTAAATGAATGTATTAGTATGTATTATAATGTATTAACATTTTCCACATCATTTCCAAGCCTTGGTAACACTGAAAATACTGAAAAAGTTAGAATAATCAGTCCAATAGCAACTCCGCAAACAGTGCCTTGTTTCAACAGTGACTGGGCTTAGATAAACATACCTTGGGAGAAGGAATGAAAAACTTTGCAGGTGACCTAGAAAAACACAAGGGTAGAGTGAAGTAATCCTTATTATGTAATTATTCTGGAAATTCTGAAAGCAATTCACAGACAAGAATGGTATTCACTTCACTGGTGTTATTTAGTAAGCAAATGCATTCAGATGCTGCTAAAAGGTCAATAAATAATGTTTGTTCTGATCTTGATAATAAGTAATAAGTACTAGTAAAAAAAGAGCAGCTAGATTTACCAAAATGATTCATGTCATGCATGTGTTATCAACTGACCATTCATTGCATGGTAGCCTTTACAATGTACAATTACTCTGAAAAAGCAAACACTTATAATTTACAAATGAAGTCCAGGGGGCAGCTTCACAGTTTCACCTTGTTGTAACTGATTTAATGGGTCATCATAAATAAGTAGGACTCCTATCATTATTTGGAAAACAGCCAATGTTTCCTGGTTTATTTTGACTTCAGTCGATACAACCACCAGCCAGCCAAAACACCGAGCTAACACAATGACATCTAGAAAAATATTGTTGGTGTTACAATAAGCAATGTTTTTAAAAGTAAATTCACAATCTAATCTCTGGAATAACATCATGTGACTTGTTAGGGTTGACTCTCTCTGCACTTACATTAAACAGCAAGTGAACTTAGGTATCCAACACATTTTAATAGTTTATATACAGGACTTACAAGACAGTATTTAGCAGCGACTAGAGGCTCTGATGCCGTTCAGTATATAACATTATCATTTAGCTTTCATTACTAACGGTTGCTTATAAGTTGTTTGATTCTTATAACCTAGCATGACACATTAAGCAGACAAGCGTATGCATTGGACACTTTTATGTGAAGTCAAGTTATGAAAATGTAAAGTTTCCTTACACTTTTGGAGATGGAGTAAAGTGAACGTCCTCAGGAGCATCATAGAATTCCTCGGTGTCACTTGTATCTGACGCCATGCTAACATGAATTTAGCTTACAAGCTACTCAAATATAGTCGCCAGGCAGCTGTTTAAAAGCCTAACCTGCGAATCAAAGTGCCACACACATGCACTTGTCCTCTCTGTGTGTGTATTATAATTTAAAATACTTTCCTCCGGGGTCGTCAACCACTTTTTCTGTCCAACGTCACGGCATAACGTTACAGTATGCTAGTCAAAATGCTAGGCTAACAAATGTAATCTACTCGCACGGCGGACCAACGCCTACTGCTGCTAGCTTTCTACCCTCTTATAAATCTGTCTCCTTCACAGCACAGTATTTTTCTATGAAAGCACCAATAAAGCGCGTTTTTACAACAGCATATACTTGGTCAGCTGTCAAGCTAACGGAGACAGTGACCCGCGTCATAAACAAACCAGAAACACAAAAAAAAACATCTGAGCGAGGTGAGTCAAAGGGCGGGGCTGGGGGGATCTCTTCTTCTCCCTCACTGATATTACATGGTTTGTATGATTCTGTAATATCACTGCCCACTACTGGATTATTTGAGGAAAAGCAAGCAGGAAAATGGGAAAAAAAAACAGGGATGGGCTGTCATGTGACATGGGATGCTGGGTATGAAGAAAGGAGATTTTTATTATAAGATTGCACACAGAACACGAGCCTATTGGCAAATATGCCAATCACTATATTTGAAAATAAAAAACGCAAAAAAATCTATCTATCTATCTATCTATCTATCTATCTATCTATCTATCTATCTATCTATCTATCTATCTATCTATCTATCTAATCCATCTTCATTTATCCATCTATCTATTCATTAATATGTATTCATGATCAAACCTTCCATAATCCGCTTTTATCCCGCTCTATACCTCAGAAACCTGCCGATGAAATGTTGTGGGTCTTCCTCATCTTGGATCTTGCAGTGGTCATGCATACATATTTATTTCACAGTTCAAACACAGCCTCCTTCACTAGCAGGATCCATTTCTTGGAAAAAATAGAAATCGACGATTCAAATTGAATCCATTTTTTATCGTCACATATGTACAAACCACCGTGAAATTGAGGGTCTGCATTTAACTCATCCTCGTATAAGGATGCGGGCAGCTACTATACACACTGCCCAGGGTCAGGGAGCAGTATGTGGAAGCAGAGTAGAATATTGCTGGGTACCAGTCCCTCTGTAAATGGTCTGTTTTGGTACTTGAACCCTGAGGGACTTGGTCCCTATGGACTGAGCTACTGTCGCTCTCCATGCAAATCAAAACGTATAACACCAACACGGCAAAGCTGTATACTGCTGATAATATTATACAGCTCCTGGTACACTAGTAACACAGAGCCATTCACAGTGAGAATCAAAACATTGCATTTATTTGAAAATGATACAGAATAAATTGATTCTGCAATATGTGTGGGAAATGTATTTATATTTATAAATGTTGATATTACTAGAAAATGTTATTACATGGTACTGTTTATCAGCTTCTTTAACAGTCAGCCCACTCATAAGGTGTGAATTGTTTGGTAAAACATGCACATAAATTAGCAGCTGTGGGTCCTATTGAGTCAAACATAGGCAAGCACTAAGAACTGCTGAGCAGCCAACAGTACAGCTAAATTACAATTGCAATTGTACTTGACGTTTGTTCCAAAGCGCTCTTTGTTGCAAACCAATGCATCAGTTGATTAATACTGATTTGTTCCTAATTAATTATTGGAGTGGTAAAAAGGTGGCGGTGTCATTAATGAAAAAGCCTCATTGCATTTTAATGAATTGCATTCATTTGTTTTGGTAATATTGTAGACTGTGTGCATTTTTATAATCAAGCGTGGAATAAATATGCATGGCAAAAAACAAAAACGAAATAAACCCCAAACTCTGAATGTGTTTTGCATCACAAGATTGCTTTTTGAGCAGAAGGCTTTGTCCTTGACCGATGCACAATTCACTACATAGGAGGTTTTCTAATACAGCTTTCTAATTGTATTCATTACACAATTAAGGTTATGCTATTAATGAAAATGTGAACTATATTTTAAGAGACAGACAAAAAAGACTATGTATATATAAATATAATCTGTGTATACAGTGCAGACCAGGGACGTGCACAGACATTTTGGGGGGCAGGTGCTCAAGTGAGAAAAAGGGCACTTCCCATAACCATTTATAAAAAAAAATTTCAAACAAAAAGTTAAATATAGTTGCACATCTCTGACTTACTGACCAATTTATTTTAATACCCTCACACTCACGTAATTGTTTAATACTCAACAGAATTCTACAAAATAATCAGCTGACACAGAGACAATGGTCTTCTTTAGTATTCACTACGCACAAGAGCAGACAACAAACTAGTACAATTAATAGTTATTAAATGAGCAGCCAACAATCAAAAACATCAGAACTTTAGTCTAATCTCCCAACCTGATATTTTTATTTTGTATTCAATCAATATATTTTTGGAAAGGGAAACTGTGCGCAAACAGCAGTAGATATATATTCATTTATTTTAATTTTTAAAAAAGGGGGGAAAAAGGGCACTTTCTCTGGAGGAAGAAAAAGGGCAGGGGCTCAAGCCCACTTTGATGTCTATGTGTGCACGTGCCTGGTGCAGACACTGTACAAACATACCGTAATCAAGGACTGCAGGCTGCATTTAAATCCCTCTTATCTCCCTGATAATAACCTCAAAAAAGTCCTACTTCTTTTGTGAAAATGACCACATACAGCAGGGCACTTGGGGCTCTTCATTAGAGTCACCGTGTGTGTTGTTGCAGTAATTTGTAAAATAATAAATAAAGATATTTCAGGCTGTCACTTCATACTTGTAACAGGGTGCCTATCACTATCCTTGTGTATACTGCTGGGTGTTTCGAAGAAAACAATATCTATAGTACCCTAATTAGTCGAACAAAGCAACACATATATTTGTTACAGGGTACAAATGCCTCACAGAAAGACGACTCCTCTTTGGAAACACTTTATTTAGTAACGGAAGTTTTGAGCCAATGAGAAAAGATTGCCATACTCTTCCACCAATGGGAAGTTAGGATGCTCCGGCTCTCCTAGTAAGCAATGACTGCATTGGATAAAACAAGGAAGGAGGCTACAGGCCAGGGTATAAGTGGATTTGAGGGCTTGGAGGAAAACAAGGACGCTAGTTAACGTTGTCTCGGCGTTGAAGGTATGGAATATGTTATTTGAAAGTTTACAGAGTGTATTCAAGATACATAGGGTGGTTAAAAAAGCAAATGTAGTATATTAAGCTCAACAAATATCAGTTTGACAGGTAGTCACAGACATATGATGGCAAACCAAGCAACCACACTAACTAATAACTAACCAAACTAACTCATGTAAAGACCCCGGTGTTTTACGTGTTTTCTGTCAGTAATGAAGCTATAAAAGATATCGGACGGAGAGCTACTTACTTAACAGCTATGTAGTCGCTTGTCTTGGTCTAACGTTGTTTCAAGCTAGCCAATGGTCATGTTTGAGGGTTAGCTTGGCTAGTTAGCATTAGCCTGTTCCAACTGGAGATGTTAGGACTTGGCTAAAGAAACATGGCCAGGAAACTAGCACAGCTTCAGTCTGACAGCTTTGCCTCTTGTGACAATGTATACGTTTAGCGTGGCTAAATAAACAATAGCATTTTTAACAGCCTAAAGTGTTTGCTAGCAAGGAAGTCGGCTACCTCCATAGTTTCTGTCTACATGTTTCACGCTTGGCTTTTAAAGGACTAACCTCACCGTCTTCATGCCTGAGCTCAGCGCACGCACAGCACTTAGCAGAAGCAAACTATCAACTCCATCTGTTCAGTGTCACTACAAACATGTCACTTTAACGTGTTCATATCAACAGGAACCACGCGGTTACGGAAACTTTTTTCCCAAATAGTAATAGAGTTTACCAGTGGCAATTATTTTAAAACATCCAAGTACTCCCTTTATTTAGTACATCATGTCAGCTGAATTACCCGGGACATTGTTCTGCCAAGTAACACACACACAAGGCAGATATTTATAGCTTCAATTAGCCTAGTTCTGTGTAAAGCAACAAGTTAGGAATATGATGCAACTGTCACATTTCAGCTGGGGTTGGGGATCAAGTAACGCCCATGCCCCCTTTCATCAATGCATGTAGGACATTTTACATCCAAAATGAACATTAATGCAAATATATTATTTTGAGGAAGTAATATGAGCACAGGCTGTTGGGAGCTAAAGTATGTCAAACACAAATGTTTGCTTTTAGGATTAACATGCTGGAAAGTTCTGATATTTACTGAAGTCGTGCGCTGTTATTAAACCTTTTCTGACACTTTTGAACTGTCATGTTGGGCTTTTCTATTCACTTGTTCATTTCAGTTGGGAATTTGCTTCTAGATGTTATTACATATTTAAAACTGTGTGAAATTGTAAGAAAGTCTAACTGTTGATCTGTAGTACAATAATACATGTGTTCTCTGTTTGTTTTGGAGATGTGAGACACAATTTATTAAACTGGCATGCATGACTTACTGCATTGCAAAGGTGTCTTAGTTACGGAAATTGTTATATTTGTCTAATTAGGCAAAACATTGTATGTGTGCGGACAAAATTAAACTCTGATATAGTGCAGTTGTAAGACTTGTTGTTGCTAATCAAACCATTACTACTTGGCTTGTTTTTCTTGTGTAAAATGTAATATTTGTTGATAGTACCATGTTATTTTTTAGGTGTGGTTTTGGCAAGGGTATGGAGCACCCTGTGCACAGAGGGGAGACGATGCCCATCGGACTACACGACAGGTAATGTGCAAATGTCTCATTCCGTTTTATTTCTTCTTACAATTGTGAGTATGTGTATTAACCTTTATATATACAGTCTATGGTATTAACTAACTTTTAACTAGGCAAAATGACATTACCTGAGTTATCAGTGCTGTTGTCAGTCAGGAAAATGTCTTCTGCCTGTAATTGGACGTGTTAATCGGGTAATCCGTGATTAGATTGTAAGAAAGAAAAGAAGTAGGCCTGGCATCAATTACCTGGGACAAGGATTGAGAAGTCTTACTAAAGTGTCACACATGATTTAAAAGACATTACTTTGTTTATGCTACATTAATTCACCTTTGGCAGTTTTCCATGCCTGAATGGCCTGGACATGGTGTTGCTAATTTATCACAATTTGCCAGCTGTTGTACTCTCTCACAGTTTTGTCACTGACCAGATGTGGAAGTTGAAATTGAATATAACGACAACTGTGGTTGATCACAACTTCAAACAGTATATCAGCAAATAATGCAAAGTTAAGATTAAAGCTATGACTTCTAAAACATGTCCTCAGCCGACACATTTGGCCCGGCTTCTCTTGAGTTTGCTGGAGAGGAATATCAGTATAGCTGAAACTAAGACACATGGAGAAGATACAGAAACTTGGTTCA